ACAATTTTTTCAACAACTGCTTGTGATACTTTTGTTGGTGGTGTCCATCCCATTTTACACAATCCATCTTGATCACAATATTCGTATTCTGTACAACAATTACCATTACCGCAACATTGATAACCTCCTGCGCAACACCTAGATATGCAACAGAAAGAGGGCAACTGACAGCAATAAATTCCACAACACTGGGTACCTAATTTACAACAACCGGCCTCATTTTCGCAACAAAAGGAGTTCGGCATACAACAATAAATTCCACAACAAGTGTCACCTGGTTGACAACAACTAGTACTACTGCAAATTGGACCGCATTACTTAGAACAACATAAACTGGTCCCTGCACATGGGTAATATCCTGGTTCACAGTTAGTGGCTCTTTCTTCTAAAGATGAATGATTTGAAAATGTACCAAATAGATGACCCATTTCATCGTGAAAGGCAAGTAATTCATCACTTCTCCATTTTAAGGATGCCGTTGTAAAAGTAAAATTGCATAAAGTTATAATTATAAAGTTAAATACTAATAAAATTTTCCACATTATAAATTTAATATGATTACTGTTTATAAATGTCAATTTTGCAAGAGTCGCGTAAAGGCGAAATAAAATATTATTTCTACGGACGGCATAGAAAAAAAATATGTTATTTTTAATAAATGCCACAAAGAGAACTTACTAACCTATTTTCTTTGTTTCTTTGCATGTATGCATGTAATACAATTCGATTGTTTTATTGCACGGGTCTTATGGCAACCCGTGCCTTTTTCATTTGGTTATCGCTAGAGATGGGCGTTCTGCATTATGTGCATTACATTACATTATGCAAAACATAATGTGTGTGCATTATGTAATGTAAACATTTTAAAATTTAAAAGTACACATAGAATAATTTTAATGCAACAAAAAATAAATAAATATTATATTTTATATCATATATAATATTAAGTGATATGTAGCATAAGTTAGTGATTTCCTACCTGTATAAAGCAGGCTAACTAATATGAGGTTTGAAAATACCATGAAATAGTAATCTTCTGTCTAGAGATGAGAAAGATTGGATATAAATCTTGCTTCTTGATTTTGGTAGAACACCATAATTACATAATGTCGTATGCTGCATTATGCTGCATTATGCAATGCATAGCCAAAAAATATGCATTCGCACATCTCTAGTTATTGCACGGGATTGCTACATCAGACACTGTGCAATAAGATAGTTATTGTAAGTGTATATTGAATAACCCGTGTGTAATTGGGTTATTCACTACATATCCATACAATAATGTAGCATTGGCAAAACTACTGTATGTATAGTATCATATAAAAAATTTATTATCAATTTTTTTTCATGTAAATCTTTATTTTTTTTTTATGCTAATTATAACGATAATTATTTAGATGCATGGCCTTTACAACTAAAATTAGAAGCTCAAATTTTGAATGAATCAATAGAAGGCCTCTATAATGCAAGTTACAAAGCGAAATTTTTATATTAAATTAAAAATTTTACCGGCAGCTAAATTTCATCCAGATTATTCAAACAATGAATACGGATAAAATAAGTTAGAAAAAAAATTGTTTTTTATATTTAATGAAAAAGCTGATTTGTAATTTAGTTACTGAGATAGAAAGATTCAATTGGCATTGAAAATTTCTGCTAAAAAAGAATTTGCAACCTGTGCATCTAAAACAAAGTACGCCAATTTTAGATGTTTTTATATATAAAAATGTCACTAACAGTTATACCAAGGTTGTTAAATTGTGGCTGATTAGACTTATTAGACATATAAAAAAAGCAATTAGACATATAACTGCCTTGGTTATTCTGATTAAAAAGCATAAATATTAATGATAAATATAATTTTGATCAACAATACATAAAACATAAGGTAAGTTATTATATCGTTTAAGTAAAAGTCATGCTATGAACTAATTCTTATTATAATACATTACAATCGAACCCATATGGATTGTGTTCTATCACTAATTTAGACAATTATTCATATAATATTTATTCAGTCATCTATTTGAACATTTAGTCAGATTTAGAATTTTGACATTTTTACAAATAATTTCATGTCGAAATATATTTAGACACTTAATTGTCTAGATACCTGACTAAATAGAATATTTCGGCTAACAACATTGATCACATCCCCAGCGGCAAATGGAAGGGTCGTCACTTGATCCTAAAAAATTAGAAATCAGAATTATTAAAAGTTATTATGCTACAAATATATTACGTATGTCATATTAATTGATGCAAAATAATAATAATAATACAGTAATAATGTTTTGAAGGTTTAATTTTAAATATAGCTTTCTGGCGCGTGAAACCTTTGATCGAATATTAAAATAAATAAAAAAATAAATAAAATATTAATGATTAAAATTTTGCTTTTATAGCCATCACCTAGTACAAATTTGACTCGTCCAATTTTTGAACAGCGTGAAATCGGTAATTTAAGTATAAAGAGAAACTGGGTGCTCATAATAAGTAGAATAGAAGAAAAACACAAGATTAATATTCGAACCTGGTGAATTCAAAAAAATTAGTATATCTGATACTGGCAAGAGTAAAATGGTCGATGATTCTTACCTTCAAAGTACTTCAAAAAAATAAATCTAATATCGATTCATATCAATTTGTTTACTGTATGAAATTTCTGAAAATTGGTATTCGGAACCCGATTATTCTTCTCTTAATGTAGTTCTCTAAATAATACAATTTCATTGAGATAAGCAAGCTTTAAACCGAATAATGAACTATTAAATCAATTCTCATGCCAAAATAATAATTACAAAGTTATCTTTATTAAGTAATAATTCATTACATAATAATTATAAGGTCGCGCAAAATTAATTTTTCGTTTTGCATAACCCGCCGACCCATTTTTTTTCAATTTTTCAAAAAAATTTTTTATTTTTTTTTAAAGTCCCAATTGTGCCAATTATTCTATTTTTGCCATTTAATTTTTCTATCAATTGTATCTGATATCACCCGATAGAGACCGGAATTCTCCGATAGGACCGATAGGAAACAAAGCTCAGCGGTGATCCAATTTTCTGATTACATGCTATGCAAACGAAAACTTAACTTTGTATAGCCTTAGATATGAACATGAGTCTATTAATTTAAAATAGATTTAAAAAAAAAAATCCGACCAACCGACCCAATTTTTCTGATTCCATATTATGCAAAACGAAAAATTAACTTGGCGCGGCCTAACAATGAGCTAATAAATTAATTTATAACAACCCAATCGTTCAAATTGTTATCACTGCCAAAAAATCGACTGCTCCTTTAATGTTTGCCCTTATTGAAGAATTAGTAAATGACTGTTATACATGATAAATGTAAAAATCGAAAAATCGACACGAATTATTTTTGAACTGACGCAGAATAGAAATACCAATTTCCTAAATTTAATTACAAAACAACGTATCGGCTCGGCATGAAGTTTTCTAATCTACACGTGATA